CTATGTATCCACTACATGCCAGACTGAGTTGTACTTTGTGTTACATGTGAGTTCTGCATAAGTCCAGTGAACAATGTTGAACAGAAAACTTCTTTGCAAAATTAAGCAAGGGCTTTGTAGATACTCTATTGTTCTGCTGCTTCCTCGGATGATTGTCTTCAGAATCAACATGCACTAGTACGAGTTGTTAACTGCACACGGGCACCTGGCAGAGGGAGCGCGAGACCTGGCATCCAGCCCATGTTCTACTCACTGAGTGGCCCACCAGCTTGGAGACATCTGTCTGGTCAAAAAGGTGAGGTTTTTCCATTGCATAAAGATGCCATCACTCTAAACAGTATGTGACAAAACTAGCAATGTTAAATGTTTATGGTGGATGGGGGTCAGTAGGTGTCATAGTGGTTAAGGCACTGGACACTCCCATGTGGCTGACCATGGTTTGAGTCCTGGACCTGGCAGCTTGCTTTCTCACTTTCCCTCTCTCTCTTTCAATCTCTCTCTGGTCCAATTAAAATAAATGAATGAATAAATACTGGATTTTCTGTCTTTTTTTTTCTGCCTGTCGTGCATGTATCGTATAATTGTGGGTTTTTTTTTTTTAATATTTATGGTGGAATTTAGGTGATAGATTTAGGATGCCCACCATAAAAATCTCTCATCTTTGCTCTGTGTTTGAAAATTTTCAAAAGAAAATGCTGAGGTCGCATGAAGAAGCCAAAGAGACACTGTTATGCCTCCTCCAAAATTCCTGTGTTGAAATGCTAATCCCCAATACCCCAGGATGTGAACATGTTTTGGACATAGGGTTTTCATGGAGGTAATCAAGTTAAAATGAGGTTACTAGGGTGAGTTCTAATCTAATATTATGAGTATACTCATAAATAGGGGCAGTTTGGGGCCAGCCAGTGGTGTGGTGGTTAAGGACATTAGATCCTACATGGCTGAGTGTACAGTTCGAGTCTCAGACCTGTTGGCTTGAAAAATACACCAGGTACATGTGCAGTTGTGCCCCAAATCCCAACAAGTAAGGGAAATGGAGGAGAAAGACTTGAGGTCTAACAATCCCCCGTGGAGGGGGTGATTTATCTCTCTCCTCTCTCTCTCTCTCTCTTTCTTAATTCTTCTTTCCAGTGAGCATATGCGCCCTCTGGCAAAAAAAATAAAAATTAAAGTGGGAGAATTTGAACAAAAAGACATGCACATAGAAGGAACGTGATGTGATGAAGCAGGCAATGTATCTTGTGAACATGAAGATGCCATCTGTAAGCCAAGGAATAAGGCCTGGAACAGATCCATGACTCACAGCTGTCTGAAAGAATCACCCCTCCTGGCTTACAGACCTTTGAGACAATGAGCATCAGCTTATTAATCTACCCAGTGTGTGGTACTTAGTTATAGAGGCTTTACAAAATTAATACAGATTTTTTTTTTCTGAATCTGCAAGAAGGTTCTCTGAGGGCTAGCAGTGGTCTGGTCACCTCCTGGATCATCCAGAATGAGTACAAATGTAAGTAAACCCTGCCCTGCAGAGTTTAAGGACCTAGAAAATGTCATGGGCAAATGTTTGTCTTAGGAAAAAAATAAACAAGAATGAAGACAAGTCATTTCCCATCAGGATAGAAAGGCCAGACAATGTCTAATGATGAGTCTATAAGCATAGAGCTTATGTCACCGTGAACTTTTTTTTTTTTTGGAGAGATTTTCTCTATAGGGCGTGTGCGCTCGCCAGACAGACAGAGAGAGACATAGAGACAGAAAGTGAGAAATCATCCCCCAGGGGGGATGGCCACGCTGCAATCCCTTCTCCATTCTCCTCTCGGGATCTTGGGCACGCACGCACACGCGCCCGGGGTGAGTTTTAAGCCACCGGGTCCGGTACGCGAACCGCGGTCAACTACGTGGGAATCCAGCGACATAGTCATTACGCTAACTGCTGGTTCTCTCACCGTGAACTTTTGACAGCCAATGCTGTTCTACAAATAAAGACACCAGACAAAGTTGACGAAAACTCACAAGAATTAAAGTTGTCTTGAGTTCCACTTCTGGCACTAAACACTCATGAGGAACATCATCTTGGGAAAGTTACTAGAATTCTGCTTTTTCCTTCACAAAACATGGGTAATTATAGCTTCCTTCTAGAGCTATGGGGAGGGTTAAATAAGGTATTACATGTAAGGCTCCAAGAACATAGCAGGTGCTCAAGAAATCAGGCAAAAATCCAGAGATGGGATTGAGATAAGCTTCATGAGAACTAATAAACAGGCTCAAAGGCTTGTTTGTTCAATAAATGACTGGCTGGAAGTGAAGGTCAACAGAACTGTGGAGGTCAGAGTCAATATTCAGGAGATGTCAGGTGTTTATCCCCATTAGACACTGTGAAAATCAGCTATGACTTCCATCATTCCTGAGAGAATGTATGGTGGCATAGAACGAGTACTTGCTCATAAGACAGGATTCTATTGGGTCGTTGGAAAAGTCATGGTGTATTTTCCTATGCAAAAATGCATGATGACTTTCCCAATGACCCAGTAATTCTGTTTTCCCTAGCTATTTAATCTTTGGAAAGTTTTTATCATGTCAAAACTTATACTCAACCTATATTCCCTCATCTACAAATTGAGAGTATTGGACTGGACGAAAAATGGCAAGTGTGTGGCCTGTGTACTACTCCTCCTGCTCTCATACCCATAACAGACATCACTAATCAACCATGGCTCTTATTCCCAGCTTCATTCAGGCATAACTTCAGAATCCTTCTCAAGATAACTTTCCAGGAGCCACTACAATAAATCCAAGATGGCAGCTCAGATGGAAATCATTTATTGTCCTATCTAGGACAGGGCTCTAAATGTCTTCCAATTTCTACGTTTTCTGAGTTGAACCCTTTTTTTGGCCAGAAACAACTTTTTTTTTTTTTTTTTGCATCTTTGAAGATGTGGAGAATATTTGGGATCTTCCACTGTCTGGGGTTCTAGGTTATGAATTGTCTTACCAACAATTCTGTCTAAAGTTGTCTGAAAGAATCGATCTTCTCATAGCTAGATTTCAGACTTCTAGCTTCCAGAATTGTGAGACAATATTCCCTTCTTCCATACCAGATTCCCAATGTTCTTACTAGGACAAAGTCCCTGGATTTTGGTAACTTCATTATTTTAAGTAACCTAACTTTCTCTCTTCACCTTCTAAAATGCCTGGACATCCAAGAACAATATTAATTTATATCAAATAATTTATTTCACCATCTTCTCTGCCTATACCAAAGACAGCCATGATTGACATGTGAAGACACTCTCCTGTGAGAAGGTAGTAATTAAGATAGCTGGATCCCACATGGCCGAGTATTTGGTTTGAATCCTGAACTTGGCAGCTTAGAAAATACACCAGGTACATGTGTGTACATGCCCAAAATCTCAAGAGAAGAATGGAGGAGACAAGATTGCAACATGGCAACCCTCCCTGGAGGATGATTTCTCACTTTCTTTCTCTCTGTCTCCCCAATGAACATATGCACCCTATAACAAAAACTAAAAAAATAAAATGATGTATCATAAAAACTATGGACCACTTCACCCCACAAAATATGTTCCAAATTTATAGGAAAAATTATTAAACCAAAGAAAAAGGAATCCTGTGTGTGGGTGTGGGTGTGTAGATATCAGCTTCACAGTAGTGTTACATGAATTGCCTTCTTTTTCTTTCAATTTATTACTATTATTTTTATTTTATACATTCAATCAATATACATTATTTAATTTGTAGAGGGAATTTACCTAACATGAAATACACCTCAGACTAACGCAGCTGAGAATACTATACACTTTATGATCAACAGGTAATAAACCAGTTCTGTGTCCCATAAATATCTTACTTCTCTATTTTTCTCCCTAATTTCCTTCTCTATACTCTTCCCCTCTCTGACCCTCCTTCGACAGTCTCCAGTATTCATAATTATTTTCAATGCTTTTATGGCCTCCAATCTTTCAGTCTCTATCATTGAGTGTGGAGAGCTGGTATATGTTAAGTGGATACATACAATGTCTCTCTTTCATAGCCTGACTTGCTTTGCTCAGCAATAAGCCTTCACCCACTTTATATCAAATGCCAGGATCTTTTTTTTAATGGCTGAATAATATTCAATGGAGTGTATGTGCCACACTTTTTCAATCCGTTCTTCTGTTCATGAACATTTGGGTTGGTTCCATGTTATAGCAGTTGTGAATAATGCTATAATAAACAAGCAATTTTCTGACTGAGCATTCTTCTGTCCTTTGGGTAGATACCCAGGAGTGGAATGGCTAGATCATATGGTAGTTCTATTTTCAGGCCTTTGAGGAAACTCCATATTGTTTTCCACAGTGACTGGACCAATTTACATTCCCACCAAGAGTGTAGGAGAGTTCCCCTTTCACCACAATGCTGCCAATGCTTTCATTTTTTGTATTTTTAATCTTCACCATTTTAACAGGGGTTAGGTGGGATCTCATTGCAGTTTTAATCTGCATCTCCCTTATGATGACGGATGTTGAGCATTTTTTCATATGCTTTTTTGGCTATTCATATGTCTTAGAAAGTTTTTTGTCAGCTCATTTTCCCATCTTTTAATTGGGTTACTCATTGTTTTTCTGGGTAAGCTGCTTGAGTTCCCTGTTATCAGTCTCTTATCTGATGTATATTTTACAAAAATATTCTCTCATTCTGAGGGTTGTCAATTCACACTAATTACTGTCTTTTGCTGTGCAGAAACTTCTTAATCTGATGTAATCTCACTTGTCTATTTCTGGGATTATTGCCCGTGAGTTGCCTTCTTTCGATGCTCATGAGTCTAGCCTAGCTTTAAAATCTCCTTTCAGCTTCTCATCTTACCTCTGCAGCCACCTGGGGATGTTCTTATTCCCAAGAAGTCATCTGTAACACTATAAAGAACATAAACGTGGGTGTCACAGAGCTCAGCATGCAATCCCATCTCAATCTGTACAAGTTGTTTGCCTTTGAACAAGTTCCTCAAGCCACCCTATGCTTATCTGCAAAATATTAATAGGACTAATTCCCCTTTACGGGATCATTTTAGTATGTGAAACATCTACCACCTAGAAGACACTCAGCAGATAACGAGTGACTGCTGTCCTTGCATGTCACCACCATTATTAGAACTGTTTCTATATCAGCCCAAGTCCTTTGGCTTTTGCATAGAGAAATAAGCTATTGTTCATGCCCACAGAAGTACAAAAGGAAGCACAAAGAGATGGACAAATAGAAGAGATCAAGTATGAGTACAAGAGGCTCTGAGTCCGTCTGGGGCACTGCTTGCAGGTGGCTTTGCCAGCATTATCTCTTCCCTCTTCTGGCTGCTGAAATCTTGCCCATTCTTCAGGATCCAGGTAAAGGCCACATCATTACAGGACACTCCACTTAGTACTTGAACCTCTACGTTACCCAGTAAAGGAGACTGAATTTTAGCCAATTCTAACTGAATACTGTTAGCTCCACACAAACTTCATCAACTCAGGGTTCTTTTGGTTGACTTATGGTTTTTCCAGTCTAGAGTTTTTCCTGCGCCTTCACTGTCCCAGTCCAGAGGTACTTCAGTATGGAGACGGCAGGCATCCAGAGCCTCAGATGAGTGACTCTGGAAGTCAATGATAACAGTGACTCTCCCTGACTCTGTCCATGCCTACCCATGGTCAGATATGTAGCAAGTACATCCGAAGTGGGTGACTAGATGGATAGACGGATGGATAGAAAGAAAAATGGATGGGTGCATGGATGAGAGGGAGGGAGGGAGGAGAGGGAAGAGGGGTGGCTGGGAAAGCTCTTTCCCAAAAAAACGGGAGTGGGTGGAACTCTGTCCTTCCTCCGCAGCTTCTCTGGCATGCCCTGTGACCATCCTCCAGAACCAGGTGAGCTCAGTAGCTTCCATTCCTGCAATTTCTCCATGAACCAGTGAGCACCACACACTGTAGCTTCCAAAAGACGCAAGCACAGTGAGCCAAGGGCCAGAACAGGGTGTAAGCTGACCTCATTTAACTCTAGTCCCTGGCCAGAACCAGCAGGTGACATGTGCTGCCCACTCGGTGCCTCAACCCAGGACAGCTGCTTACTATGAGAGCTGAGGACACATCAGACACCCAGTACATAGCCTGTAAGGAACAGGTACCATCCCGTGGCTTCAGGTCCGGCGCCCGCGGCTTTCAGCACCTGAGGAGGTAGCTCTCTGGGTGACTGTGGGCAATAGGGGGACAGGAGGACAGCTGAGGCAGAGCATAGTACCTCTCTGGACTTGTAGAGCTGCACAGCAAAACCTCCAGGGCTAACTTGCAGGTGGATCTTATTGTAGCAGGTCACCAATATGAGCCAGGGAGCCAGTGGAAGATAAAATAAAGCACCCATCCTCAAGCAGCAGACCTGGGCTCAAATCCTGGCTGTCACTTGCTGTCTATTGACCTTAAGTAAGCCACTTTACCTCCCTAGGACTCCATTTTCTGCAAAGGCTGTGAGGACTATGTGGAATATTACTCATAGTGCCCTCAACAGTTCAAAGGACAAGGCTGAAATGAAGAGATCATTGGAGAGACGTGAGAAGGGTTGAGGGAAAGCCATCAGGAGAGCTGTTCCCTGCCAGGAGCTGAAGGGACAAAGGGGGGAATAGTGAGAGCTGGAGCCCTGGAGGAGGGGCTGTCAGGAACAGCTGGAGCAGGGAGGGAGTGAGAATAAGCACTCCTACCACTCTCTCCTTTGGCCAGGACTCTCCCTATAGAACCCAAGAGGAAGTCAGTGGGCAGGGGAGCCCAGCAGCACAGTCCAAGGGGGTCAGCTCTAAGGGCACAGAACAGGGTGGAAGAGAGCAGAGAAGAGATCAGGCCGGCATGGGGAATAGAACAGCTCCCAGAAAAGTCATCGCCAACAGTAAAGTCGTCGCCAGCGTTTGCTGCGCATCCCCTCTGTGCCCTGAGCCTGAACACTGTTTTGTTCCATTTTTACTCAGAAGGAATTTAGCCCTGAGCACGGGACACTCACTATGACCCAACGTGTATTATTGGCTTAACGAGTTTCCTGCCAGAAGGTGACGAAGATTCTGCACCTTTTTTAAGAAACAGGAGCTCAGTGACCTCACCCTGACTTCCACCCTCACCTTGGGTTTTCTTGGTGACTTGCTTTGAGGGGAGGTGTGCACTTTACCAAGTCATGGGGAACTGTGTTCAGGGACTCTGGAGACGGGGAGAATGATGGTCACAGCAGAGGACCGTGGAAGGATGACCTGCTGCTCGCCCCTGCTGGGTCTGACAGGTGGCATGTGCCCCAGGGTTGGCCCCGAATGGCAAGGGACACCCTTCCCTCTTGTTGGTCACAGAGCACCTGCCTGGCTTTTCCCAAGCCCTCTCTAGACCACATCCTCCCGTCCAGATGCTGGCAGACCCTGCTGCCCCCTGCTCACAGGGAAGGGAAATCAGCCACAGGCTAGGGGCAGGCCGTTCAGACCCAAGAACAATTTCTAAAGGAGAGGTCCGCCGTCTCGGGTCAGTTCCCAGGTCCAGGCCAGGGGCCTTCTTGGAGGAGGAGTTCCTGCTGTGGAATTCTGCACCCCTATGAGGTGGAGGGAATCCTGGACCCAGCAACTTAAAACTCATGCTAGGCGTGTGTGTGTGCATGCCCAAAATCCCAAGAGGAGAATGGAAGAGAAGGGATTATGGTGTGTCTATCCCCCCTGGGGGATTATTTCTCACTTTCTGTCTCTCTCTCTGTGTCTCTCCAGTGAGGACATGCACCCTATAGCAAAAATCTCTCTAAATAAATAAAAATAAACACTGATTCCCTCTGAAGAGTAAGGTTGCAGGGTGAGCAGGAAGGAGCTGAGTTTTTATTACATATTATAAATATTATACTAAGAATATATTATACATAGAACACGGTGCTATTGTAACTAAAATCCAAAGAAGTCTGCAGAGTACAGTTGGGACTAGTTTTTGTAACATGGCTAGTTTTGCTGACCATGTGTTGTGCTGTGTCCACCCTGTTCTCACATTACACCTCGCACGGCTCTGTGAGGCCGGCGTGCTGCGTCCTTGTATACCTCGGACTTCTACTGGGAGGGCAGGGAAGTCGCCCAGGTCCCACAGTCGAGCAGGTGAGTCAGGATGTGAATCCTGGGCTGTCTGGCTCCAAAGCCGGCACTTTATTGAGGCTCACTGTTCCCTTTGGGTTCCCCACTAATGCTGACCCCAGCAGGAAGTGTTCTGGGGAGACACGCCTCGCTGGCTGTGCGGTGGGACTGGGAGATAGCACTGTGTCTCTTTGTCTAGGATGGCCAACCCAACTCTGTCCTTCTGGCTCCTGGTGGCCGGACTGTGTCCTCACACCTATTATAGCCAAGAATACCCTCCAGCTCCAGAGATGCCGTCAGCCTCCTCGACTGCCCTGAACAATTCCCACTTTGCCTTCCGCCTGTACAGAGAGATGGTGGCTGCAAACCCAGGCAGAAATGTGCTCTTCTCCCCACTGAGCGTCTCCATTCCCCTGACTCTGCTGGCCCTCAAGGCCAAGCCAGCAGTTTGCTCTCAGATCCTGAAGGCCCTGGGGTTTAGCCTCGCCGAGGTCGCTAATGACCAGGCTCAGGTGCACTACAGTCAGCTACTTCGGGCCCTCCTGCCAGACCCCTGGAAGTGCCCGACAGAAATGGGCAGCGTGCTGTTTGTGGACAAGAGGCGAAGCCTGGTGCGGAAGTTTATCGATACGGCCCAGAATCTGTACCGCATGGATGTCTTCCTTACTGCCTTCAAGAGCTATGCGACAGCCAGGGATTACATGGACTTCTTCATAAGGAAGAAAACCCATGGCAAAATCGAGAAGCTCACCCAGAAGGTGAACCCAGACACTGTCTTGATTCTGGCCAATTATATATTTTTCAAAGGTGAGTAAACGTCTCAGCACTTCTTCGTGGTCTGTTGCAACATTAATCCATCTTAAGCTCAAGATCAGTATCTCCTCTTCTCTTAGTCGGGCTCACATCCCGCCTGCCTCTGCCCCTCCAAGACAATGCCGTTCTGTTGATTAACTCCCTTCTCTCCTACGTCTTCCATCTGTCTCCCAACACCTGCGCCGACAGTTAATCTCCTTCCAGTACAGCCCATTAACTGCTGGCATTTCAGAGAGTTCATCCTTGGCCACCTTCTTTCCTTATTCTACAGACTGTCCCTCTGCCAGCTTGGCCTCCAGTCCTCCTGTCTACCGGACCCTTCCAGCTCTCTAGCCCAACCTGCACCTCTAATGAGCTCCAGACCCATATCCTCACAGGCCATCTGGTCACCCACTTCTGCTCATCATATTCTAAGCTAAAGCATTCCTTCCCACCAGCTCCTCCCACAACGAAACATTCCTCTCTTACTGTTCCTTTCTTCTATGTCCCAGTAAATGGCCCCAACTCCTACTCAAACCTGAACGTGAGGCACCACTGTGCACTGGCTGGGCAGATCCTCAGAGCTTCTTTTCTTTCCCATACTACACATCCAAACAGAAGCCACATGCTTGACTTGACTTCCCTAATCTCTCTCACTCCACCGTGGTCTTTCTCCCCTGCCACTGCTCTTCAAGTTATACTCTCTTTCTTTCTTCATCTGCTAGAAGGTGTGCTGCACTCTCCAGACAGAGACAGAGAAAGCGAGGGTAAGGGAGACCCCACCTCCAAAGGGGCTTGGTCACACCACAATCTCTTCTCCTCCATTTCTTCATACTGTCAGGATTCGGGACACACAAGCACACATGCCCAATGTGCTTTTCCAGCTGCAGGGGTCGGATTTGAACCACACAGTCACGTGAGCTCCAGTTCCCTAAACCACTAGGCTATAGGGCTGCCCCCAAGTTACATCATGTCTTACCAGAATTATTCCAAAGGCTTCTTACATGGTCTTCTTGTCTACAGTTTGCCTTCCCACCTGTGGCCCAATGCAGTTTCCATGCTTTGTCAGGGGTACCTTCCTCTTAAGCAAACTGGATCTTGTAATTCCACAGCTTAAAACCTTTCAGCGGTCCTAACTCGACCGCAGCCCCTAGGATAAGGCTCCATTTCTTCAGGAGTGACCAACAAGCTAGCCACGTGAAACGCTACCCTCTCCCTGAACAGCAGCCTCCAGCCTTTACTCAGTCCACTCCTTTGCCTCCCGCTTCCCCTCTGCTTCCACTAGCCAGTGATACTAACCCTTTAGGGCTCAGTCCGGAAGTCATTGCCTCCAGGAAGCCTTCCTTGACAATCTCTACCACGAAGGTGACAGATTTAGGAAGACAATAAAACACCACAAGAAAAAGGAACATACTTAGATCTAAAAATTATTTCTCTGAAATACAAACTTAACTGGGCATTTTATATTTTACCTGGCAACCCTACCGGCCATTGTCTAAGTAGTTGGTAATGGGGAAAATGCTTCTTGTTCTGACCAGGCTGAGTTTGAGCTGCCACTCAGACATCTGAGAAAAGTGACCAGGTGCGTCCAAAGCTCATGAGGGAGGCACAGGCCGGCCGTAGAGGGCTGGGAGCCTTCAGTGCACGGAAGTCGGAAGCTACTGGGAGGGCTCATCTTGCTCTCCTCCGTGTCCTGATGGTACCATGTCCTTTTTCAGCCTGAGGTCACACTGTGTTATGTGTCCTCTCTTCACTTATCCCTTCCCCATGAGACTGGGCCTCCTCACACAGGAGAGGGCATTGTTTGTGCCACGCCTGCCTTACCTGTGGCCCAGCCACTGTCAGGACTGCAGAGCTCAGAACTTTAGCTTCTTGGTTCTCCTCAGTGCCTGCTGCCCTGTCCCTTTGTGCTCAGTCCCTGCAGTACACCAAGTGGCCCTCAGAGCTGGGCCCTCAGCCTCTGGCCAGAGCCTCAGCTGCCGGCAGAGAAGGCAGGAGGTCGACTCTGAAGGAGGAGTGGTGGTTTACTTACTCTGCCAGAGCTCCCCAGGCCCTGAGCCCCCAGTGGACTGGTAGACTTCATTCAAGCATCTGCAGCGGATACCAAGGTAGAGTCCAGTATCTCGTATTGTTTTGCAGTGAACGCTATAATAACGTTTAGCGTGAGCAACGCCTGAGCAACTACCCTGTGCTGGGCACTGTGCCCAGGACTTGACCTACAGCATCTCATTGAACGTTCACAGATGTGCAGTGAAGTAGATATTAGCACCCCCGTTTACACACGAGGAAATGGATGCGCTCCACTCTGTTCTTACCGCCCTCTCCTCTCCCCCTCACTCTTCCCGTTCCAGCTACACAGCCGTCTGATGTCCCTTGAGCATGACAGACCCATTCCTGACACGGGGCCTTCGCCCATCCTGCTCCGGGATATTCCTCCCCAGATATGCCGTACTTCATTCCCTCACACTGAGGCTTTACTCCCTGCCACCTTCTCATAATTATATGAAATTGTAACCCTCCTTCCCTGACATTTCTTGTCCCCCTTTACTTTCTCTCCTTAACGTGTATCACCTCCTAATGTATTCTTTGTTTATCTTGTTCTTTGTCTTCCCTTGGTAGGTAAGCTCTAGGTGGACAGAGATTTTTCGTGCCTGACTATGTCGCGCACCACAAGAATGGTACCTGCCACGTCATTCTCCTCCCTAAATAGCTCCCAAATGAATGAAATACCTGACACCTGGTGCCCTCTGCCCTGACAGTTCTCCTGTGATGTCTGCCTGCTCTTTTTCCAGGGAAATGGAAGCACTACTTTGACCCAAAGCTCACTGAGATGAGGCCCTTCTCTGTGAATGAGAAGCTCACGGTCCAAGTGCCCATGATGCATCGGCTGGGCTATTTCCAGCTCCAGTATTTCCGTCACCTGCACAGCTACGTCCTGTGGTTGCCCTGCAGGTGCAACGCCAACACGGTCTTCATTCTTCCCAACATGGGGAAGGTCAGCGAGACAGAAGAGGCACTGCTGAAGGAGAATTTTGACACCTGGACTCAGCCCTTGACACTGAGGTAAAAACCCAGTTATCTCTGCCTCTGCATGCAGTGAGAATCTCTCAACAGCTATCATGCCAGCCTCTACAGCTGGTCTATGTGCCCATGACATAAGGGGGTGGGACTAGATCACACACTAATTATCAAATAGCATTCAGCCATTCACTCCTCTGGAAGACGGGAACAGGTAAGCCAGCCCAGCAAAACCATCACCATCGTCGTCATCACCGCATTACCCCATGACACCTTCTTCTGAGAGATTTACGGTTCCCCTTGGCCTTGCAAAGCACTGAGAAGTCATAGAGAACTGGACATTTAACTTAACTTCCAGCATTCCCAAGTAGGATTTGAACCTGGTACACGTTTTCACATAGGATCCGTAAACAAACTACAGTTTCCATGGGAACTGCAGTTGGATAGTTACCATAGATCTGTCCTCTCAGCTCACGAATGAATTCAGTGTGACCGATAAACTCAGAGGGACCAGGTCACCTCTCCACCAGTCACCGGCTCAGGAAGCTTCAGATGAAAGTCACCTTCCAGCCACCTGCCCTTCTCTCCCTCTTCCCATACCTCATTATCAACTTGCTGGCTTTTCTCGGGTATTTGAAGTCTTTGCCTCTCAGGTGTAGGTGACCAGCATCGCTGGCTTCATCTGGGAGTTTGTCAGAAATAAATATCTCTGGGCCAATTTGGTGGCACAGTCAGTAGCAAACTGCGCTGCAGTGCCATATGCCAACTACGAGTTTGTATTCCTACATGCACCTGAAAACACGCTGGTTCACATGCCCAAGATCCTGATGAGCTGGAGGGCTGCGGAAAGGGGGTCTTGGCATGAGAAGACCCTGTGCGTTTTTTCTCCCTCTCTCTTGTCTCTCATACACACACACACACACACACACACACACACATTCTCTATCATGAATGCAAAATTTTAAAAAGGCAGAGAGAGAAAGCTAGAAATGCAGTATTGGAGGCCCCCCTACATCTGCTAAGTCACAGTCTGTTCCCACCAGATGCCAGGTGGGTCCCGTGCACATTCAAGACAGGGAAGCCCTGATGAAAACCCCAGCCGAACCCCATTGCTCCCCAAGAGACCTTCCAGATCCTCAGCCATTGCAGCTTGCCACGTGGTGCCCTGTGCTCCCCCCGAGTACCTTCTCTGCACCTCTCATTTTGTCCTCTGATCTGGCCTTGTTTTCTGGAGCAGGGCTTCTCAACCTCAGCATACCACAGACCAGGGAATTCTTTGCTATGCCAGGGTGTGTGGAGGGGGAGGTAGGGGCCTGGGCACTTCCAGATGTTTGGTAGCATCCCTGAATGCTCTACTCCGGGATGGCAGTAGCACCCACTCTCACACTGTGACAATCAGAAATGTCCCCAGACTTGGTCATTATCATTATCCCCCTTAGGGACATCTATTCTGGATCATTGCTCTGTGTGTGAACCGTGGGCTCCTGTGTGTAGATTGTAGGCTCCCGTGTGTGGATTGTAGACTCTTGGAAGACAAGAACTGTGCACTTTGCTCACACTGAGTTCTCCTTGCCCCCAAAGGCTTGTTTGTCCAGACGTGGATGAGCAGCCTTGAGCTGAGAGTGGAGGTCTGTGCCCTGACAGAACAGTCTCAAGCTCCTCAGCACCCCTCCCCTAGGTAGGCCGAGAGCCTCCAGCTCCCCTCCTCCCTGCTTAGCTCACCTGCAGGGTGAGAAGGCACCTGAGATATTAGCGGCTCCAGCCTAGGCCAGGGAGCACCAGGGGAGTCCTGGTGGAGGGAGGGCAGAGACACACTGCCCCGTGGCTGAGGCAGGTGGGGAGTAAAGCCAGAAGACTCATGTGCAGGGCTCTTTCTTCCAGGCTGTGAACTCACTCACAGTTTTGGTTGCCATGAAGAGAGAGTCCCACATGTGTTTTTTGTTGTTTTCATCTTTTAAATTTTTGCCCTTATTTTTCATTTTTTAAATAATTTTTATTTTATTTTATTTTATTATTATTTAATTTGACCAGGAAGAGAGGAGAGAGAGAGAGAGATCATGAGAAAACAAGCCCAGAACTTGAACCACAGTGGGCCTCGTGGGAGTCCAGCACTTTAACCCGTGCCACTTGATGGCCCCTTTATTTTTATCTTTTATCTCCAACTTATTGAGGTATAATTAACAAACAAAAGTCATGTGTACTTAAGGTCTGCAACACAACAGGTTGACGTGCACACACAGACGGCCCCTGACTTCCAACCGTTCCACTTACAATTTTTCGACCTTGACGGAGTGAAAGTAACTCATGCTCACTAGAAACCACACTTCACGTTTTGAGTTTTCCTCTTTTCCTGGGCTGGTGACAGGCAGTTCCCTGCTCTCTCACGACGCTGGGAAGGTCAATGAGCTGCAGCTCCCGCCACCAAGCTGTACAGAGATCAGAATGGACTTGTCCCGCGTAACTGAAACTACCCTACTAGCGATGCCTTCCCGGCCTCTGGCAACCATTCCACTTGCCTTAGGAGGTCGACTTTTTAGATTCCACGTGAAGTGAGAGCATGTCACCTTGTGTGTTCTGGAGGTACATGGAAAGGTAAACCCAGGAGAAAACGGTGCCCAGTCCTGCCCCTGGACCCCTGGGTGTGCAGGGCATAGGAAGCAGCAAGGTTATGTATGAGGTCCAAGACAGACAGACAGTGAGATTCTCGTCCGTTGGACCCAGTGCTGGCCGCAGTCTGAGAACGGCAATACAGCTTAATGGCTTTGGCCTAGGGTTCAGTCCCAGCTTCTTAGGAACGGTGTGGCTATGGGACAGTCTCTTAACCTCTCTGACTCTCCATTTGCTCCCTTGTAAAATGGGTTTTATTTATTTATGTATGTATTTTTTACAGAGAGAGAGAAAGTGAGAAAGCAAGCCACCAAGTCTGAGACTCAAACCCCAGTCAGCCATGCGGAAGCCCAGCATTTTTAGCCACCATGCCACCTGCTGGCCCCTAAAGTAGGTACTTCCAGCGCCCAGCCCCAGGATTACTGTGTGATGAAATGCCACTGCAGAGTGCTTGGCGCTAGCCTGTCTATTGCAGGCGCTTGGTAAACATGGCATTCATTTTACGCTGTTCTGCAGTGAGAGGACCAGTGGGGGCAGTATATTAATGACATTATTCCAGCTGTTTCTCTCTCATTCCCCTGAGTAGCAAAAGGAGGCTGTATCTTCCAAAATTCTCCCTACGTGCGAACGTTCAACTGGACCAATTTACGCCGACGACGGGCATCTCGGATATCTTCAGTTACAGCGCAGGCCTCACAGGGATTTCTCTGCAGACCTTGCCCATGAGGGTCTCCAAGGTGAGTTAAAAGCCACCACCGACGTCAGAGCCATCCGTGAGCGTGTGTTGCATCACCTCCTTATTCTCTTGCACGCAGATGGGACTGTCCCATTGTTTGGGAAAGTCAAGGGTAGAAATGGTGCATTGCAGCACCCAGGGGCCCTGAGGACAGCTGCTCCTAGGAGAGGGCTGGACCTAGGGGTCTGAGGGAGGGCCATGAGGAGCCTAGAGGCAGGATGTGCTTCTGCAATACTGATCCTCCTGGGGGGGCATGGGGGGTACCCTCATGGTTATCTAAGAATGGTGTGGGGGATTTATTGTATACCAGGAGGGATCCAGGTGCAGAGGGAGGTCACCTAAGGTGCAGGGGTGGGGTTAAACTACTCATGGATGGGTTGGGGAGTGAGGCCCCTAAGTAGAGTCCCGAAGTTTAACGACATGGTAGGGCTTTCCCAGGCGTAGAAAGAGGACATGCTCAGAAATATTGTCCAGCTTTGGAAAAAGCCAAGTTGGAGAGGAGGAGCACTGGGAAAGGGGGGATGGGGAGCCGTGGGTGCAGCTGTCACTTGGAGCCTGGGCAGAAAGGTCCTGACTGCCAGGCTCTCCTGGGAGCTGGGGAGGAAGGCTTCAAAGGGGAAGTGGTGGGGTGGGACCTGAAATTTAGGGGCCTTCACCCTTGGGAAGGGGGTTGCTGCAGAGCCTGAGGGACAGAAGGCACAGGCACAGGTTAGCCAGTGCAGCCCGACTGGGCCTCAGGGAGGGAGAGAAGCAATAGGGCTGCATGGGGGTCAGAAGGGAGATGCATTTTGGAGATGGTGGTGGGCTTAGGAGCAGGAAGTGCATGGAAGGCAGTTGGCTTCCAGAGATGGAGGGGCCCAGTATTGGGGGAGCAATAGGCCAGGAGAATGGCCAGTTCCAAAGCCCCCCAGGCTGCCTCTGAGTCAAGTGGAGTGAGGGGAAGAGACAGCTTCCGTGTGGAGCTGGTGGGAGGGGCAGCAGCATCTTAAGCTCTTGGAGATGCAGAAACTGCGTCCCCACGTGGGACAGAACATGCCTGGTCACATCTCTAGACAGGACAGAGCCGGGACTCAATTCCAGGTCTCCTGGGCAGAGCTCAGACCAAGTGAGGGTCACTATGGCACCTCCCCGGGGCGGGGGGATATTCCTACTCTGACTGACTGTGAACCTGTCCCCTCAAAGGCGGTGCACGTGGCAGAGCTGACCGTGGATGAGGACGGAGCAGAAAAGGAAGACATCACTGGCCTCAGGTTTTCTCCCAGTCACCTCATCCCCATCCTGGATTTCAACAGGCCCTTCCTACTATTAGTTTTTGCAGAAGGCAGCCATAATTTGCTCTTCATGGGGAAAGTGATGAATCCCAAGGCAAACTTGTCATCAGGTGACAAAAGGGCATTTCCCTGACCCCCTCCCTCCCAGTGTGTGCAATGCTCGGGGCTCCTGAAGAAAAGGGTGCTCCATGACTGGAGCCCTTTTGAAATGTCCAGGCTTATAGCCCTGTGTTCTGGTCTGTGCACTAAGGCCCCCCTGGGTGAATATGCCCATTTCACAGGTTCGCAACCCACAATCCAGAACGGTTATACAATTGCAGGCCAGATTCTCATGGACTTTTGCCAGTTTCCTGTCCTCTGTTGGTTTCTGGATTTTCCCTTGTTTCCAATTTTCTCAGGCTCACACCACCTGGCTTGTAGACTAGCTATTTTCCTCTGGGGGAATCAGCTCAATAAAGCAGCAAATGACAACCTTGTAGGGGGTGTTCTGGTGCTAGTAAGTAGGTCACTCCCTAGAAGGACTTGGGGAGTCTGCTGAGAGTGTCTCAGGGGTGTGTTTGTGTGACTCAGAGAAGAACTATCAACCGGCATCCAAACCAGACTTTTATGAGATCCCAGCCAGTTTTGGGTCTCAGTTGAGAAGTGAGCAGATGAGTGGCTGAAAAGGAAAACACACAAGGAACCTCTCTGGGTCTCTTTGGTGAGAGGCTATGTAACATTCACGTGTCTTTGTTGTGTTCTTGCAAAGGATGGCCCAGACTAAATAAGCCCTTAAACCATCCATAAAATTATTTCCATGAGTAGATGTTGCATGCAGGGGTTGAGTTCTTTGCAAGAGTGTCCACCCAACATTCAATCCTATATACAGTAAGCATCTGTTGAGGGCTGCCCATGCTAGGCACAGTTCTAAGGCTGAAAGAGATGGAAAAGAGCCTCCTCCTCAAAAAGCTCATCATACAGGTATGCATGGTGCATGGCCATGTTGCAACCACCTGAATGCATAGGCAAGGGTTAACCAGTGCAATTTATCCTCTTGTTCTCTTGAACATGAATAAGAATCATATTCTAACTGGGAGGTGTGTCAAGTGGAGGTAAATTTTTTAGGTTTATTTATTTATTTCTTCTACCAACAAGAGAAAAAGAGCACTCCCAACAGGGTCTTGATGCTACCATACTCAGTCTCAGCCAGTCTTAGATCATGGGCAAGTGTGTACCCATGTACAGGGAAGCTACAGACTTGAACTGGGAACTCCATGTAGCCCAGACCAAATAAGCCATAAAACCATCTATAAAATTCTGTCTTATGAGTAAAAATTGCATGCAGGGATTGAGTTCTTCACAAGAGTCTCCATCTGACATTCAGTATCCCATGTGGCACTGCCTCACAAAGCATCACATTTTTATCACCATGCCATCATCCGCTCCCCAGCCAGAGTCTTCAGTTGATGGGCAGGTAGCCCAATACTGACAGAGTCTGATTCACTGAGAAGGGTATTGCCTCATGTCACACCGGTGCCAATGAATAGCTCGAAGTTTATAGGAACCCCTGGGAACTTGAACCACTGTCACCATCATTCCATAGAACTGTCATTCCAGTAGCTACTCCCCACATGTTCTGACCACCACAACCTTTCTTTCCAGCTCATTCTTTTTGGTCCCCAATTCCAATGACCTTTCAATCCCAATGGTTTACATCACCCATTGATTATACCGGTTTTCACTGCCCTCTCTTCCCATGGATCCTCACTTCCTCTTTGCCCAGTTTCAATCCACGATCAATCTCTCCCTCAACTCCCTTGCACTTCTCTTTCTTTATTGGAATTGCTTGGCAACATCCTGGCAGGATCCTAGCTAGCCAGTCTTCCACTTGGTCATGATTGTATTTGATCTCATTCACTCAAAGACATCACACCAGCTATCCTCCCTTCCAACTCCACAATCACATCTTGCCTATCTCTTTGACTTTTTCTATCAAATATACTCATATTGACTCCATATCAAAATAATTAAATGATAGATAATGAAGCGAGATCATAGATATTGTTTCCCTCTCGTTAATATACCACTGCTTAGAAAAGTTATTTATTATCTTGTGTTCAAATTAAGAAGACCGTCTATCTCAGTTTGTCTGGGAATAAAATGATTCCAGCACATGGGATTTTCTGTTTTAAAATCAGAATTCACAGGATATGTACTTTCCTGCTAAAACTAGGTAAGTTCTCAGACAAACCAGGGTAAGTTGGGCACCCCACAAAATCGTCTTTCCATTTTCTCTGTTCCAGCCAGGCTCTCTTCCCACCAGCATTGCATCAAATTACTCTTGACCAGCAATCTATGATCAATTGCTAATGTCTCTCTCAAGTTATTCTGCATCTTTCCTGATTTCTTAACATTATTTGACAGAATTTGTCAAGTCTCACTCTAGAAATATTTTCATCACTTGACTTTTGGGACACCACATTCTCCGAGTCGTCTTGCATTACCCTGGACCCTCACTGGGCACTATTTCTCAGTAATTCCTTAAACGTAGAGTCTTTTATTCACAACACACATTGCATGATCAGCAAATTACATCAGCCCCCCCCCCCAAAATATATCTAGAACCCAACTACTTGCCACCACATACACTGCTGTCCCTGGTCCAACCCACCATCATGTCGTTCCTCAACTATTACATCAGTTACCAAACCTAACTCCCTAAATGTGGAGGCATTAAGCAGAAAAGAAGGGGAGACAGAAGATACAAAAAAAGTACCAATCCAATAAATACTAGCTAAAAACTTATAAGATTACATGTAGCATATAAAGTTATAAGAAAAAAACTAATGGGACCAGCAGATGGCATAATGGTTATGTCGCTGGGCTCCCATGTAGTCGACCACAGTTAGAGTGCTGGACCTGGTGGCTTAAAACTCATGCTGGGTGCATGTGCATACATGACCAAAATCCTGAGAGGAGAATGGAGGAGAAGAGATTGCAGTGTGGCCATCTCCTCTGGGGTGATTTCTAGGTTTCTGTCTCTCTGTCTCTCTCTGTCTCTCTGGTGAGTGCATGTACCCTATAGCAACAATCTCTCTATAAATAAATAAATAAGCGCATACATTAATGTTCAATTAATGTGTCATAAAGATTCCATAGGGAATAGTTGTTCAGCAAATTAGCCTGGGACAATTGGATATCGACATGTAAAAATAAAAAAGAAAAAAATATAAACCCCACCTCACATCATACACACAAAAAGTAATTCTAAATGAACCATGAGCTAAATGTAAGAATTGAAATATAAAACTTCTACTAGGTTGTTGAGAAAGTCATGATGTATTTTTCTACGTTTTCCTATGCAAAAATACAGTATGACTTTCCTGACAAGCCAATATAATAAACCACAAGAGAATTTTATAACCTCAGGTTGGGTAAAACATTCTTATATATTAAAACAAAAACATGTGTAATAAAGAACAAAAACTGATAAGTTGGGTTTCCCTAAAATGCAATGCTTACATATCAAAAGATACTACAGCATTAAGAAAAAAAAAAAAGCCAACAGTTTCTTACAAAGCAAAGCATAGTCTTACTGTATGACCCAGTCATCATCACCCTAGTATTTACCCAACCGACTCTCTCCACACAAAAACCTATACTCAGGTGTTCATAACGACTTTATTCACAATCGTAAAGTTCACAGAACTTAAGTTGCCCTTAGATTCAATAAGTTAATAGAACAGATTGTTGTACATGCATGCTATAAAGTATTATTCAGCAGTAAAAAGATCAAATTATTTTAAAAAATAATAATGGTAAAAATAAAAAGTGCTGTTGATCACAAAGTAACATGAAGGAACCTTAAATGTGTAATGCTAAGTAAAAGAAGCCGGTCTGCAGGACCAGCAATGGCATAATGGTTAGATGACTACTCCCACAGGGTCGACCGCTGTTCGAGTTCTGGATCCAGAGACTCGAAACTCAATCTAGGCATGTGTAGGTGCATGCCCAAAATCCCAAGAGGAGAGGAGCGTGGAAGAGAAGGGATTGCAATGTGATCATCCTCATCCCAGGGGCAGAGGTGATTTCTCACTTTCTGTCTCTCTATCTCTATCTCTCTGGCGAGGGCACATGCCCTTTAGCAAAAATTTATCTCAAAAAAAGAAAAAGAAAGTAAAAGAGAAAAAGAACCCAGTCTGAAAGACAACATACTATGTCATTCAATTATATGACATTCTGGCTCTTTCCCACTATACAAGATGGCAGGTGAAAAAGCTGCGAAGCAGGATACTAAGGAGAAGAAACCTGAAGCCAAGAAGGCTGATGCCAGTGGCAAGGTTAAAAAGGGTGACCCCAAGGCTAAAAAGCCCAAGAAGGGGAAGCCCCATTGCAGCCGAAACCCCATCCTAGTCCAGGGCATCGGCAGGCACTCCCAGTCTGCCATGTATTCCAGGAAGGCCATGTACAAGAAGAAATTCTAGGCCATTAAATTTAGGATCGAAAAGAAAAAGGAGGTTTTTGCGACTGTCACAAAACCAGTTGGTGAAACAAGAATGGTGGGACCTGGGTGGTTAAACTGCGCACAATACCTAGGTATTATTCTACTGAAGATGAGCCTTTGAAGCTGTTGAGCCATGGCAAAAAACCCTTCAGTCAGCATGCGAGAAAGCTGCGATCCAGCATCACTCCTGGGACCATTCTGATCATCCTCACTGGATGCCACAGAGGCAAGAGAGTGGTTTCCCTGAAGCAGCTGAGCAGTGGCTTTCTACTTGAAACTGGGGT